AATCTGTAGAGTACAATCCAAGGTATCTGCTTATTAGTGCACATACTGACCTGATTCCAAGTTATGTTATCGATTTTGTCTTACCTCAAAAACTGCTTTCCTAAGAAGGAACAGAAGAAAAAATATATATTTACTATATGTAATGTATCGAGATTTTAAATTGAGAATGAAAGAAAATTAGTTTCTTACAATAATAATATATGCATTTTTTGTGATAAAACATTATCAGGTAGATCAAAAACTGAGAAATTTACTTTAAAAATTGATTTATAGTTACTTTTATATGGTTATTATTAATATATGTGATTTGCAGAACTCTATGTATGCTATGGAACTTTACAAAATTTATTCAGAAATTGAAAATTTTTTGGTACTTTTCTGTTATCGAAATCGGATTCAGAAATGTATGAATATATGCACGTGTGCAGGCACGCATGTATATATGTGCATATATGTGTATATGCATACAGACACACGCATTCGTACATGCAAACCTTGAACACATACATCCATACATATATTTCTGAATCCGATCCTTATAAAAGAACAGTACCAGTTTTTCGTATGTGTGCGAATTTGAAGCATAAACTCCAAGGTTTTTGTTATTAGCGTATATATTGACCTGATTTCAATATATGTTGTCGATTCTGTCATAACTCAAGGACTTCTTAAATGGAAAAGCTCTGTTTTATTTAGGCTATACGCTAAAGTATCCATAATTAGCAACAGTATTTACAGATATCAGCGGAAATAATAACTCTCCTTCACAAATAGTCTAATCATAAAATCGGTAACTATTATTACAATCTTAGAAATGTCTGTAATAAACCTGCAGTTCTCATTCTATAATAAAACATTTACTGTAGCTTAACAGTATATAAAAAATAGCCTAATTTCTGTTAAGCCCTGTCTGATACTTCAAATGATCTGAAAGATTTCATGTAATCGAAATGCTAATAGTGTACCAATAAAAAGTTCGCTGAAAACGGCCATGTTTCATTATACAATTCATTCAGTTATTGCGTTGTTTCGGCAGCTTCATGAAGCTACAAAAGGGCATCCATAAGATAAACTGTCGTTATCAGATACTTCTGCTTCACGTTTTCGTCATCTTAACGTCTTCGAATGCGTTTTATCTTGCGTGACCTCTAGACGATTAGATTGATAACAGTAACTAGAGTAAACGGTTGATTGCCACCGTTTCGATTGAGATAACGCGTAGTTTTTCCCGATTCGTAATCACTTAATGGAAAAGTGGATTTCTTCAACGGTTTTATGCAGTAAATTCGGATAAAAATGCGACGAAAAACAGCTGGAATTTGGCTTGCTCTTTAATGTTGTGATAGATTTTTCCTTGATTTCCTGTTAGCCATTAGCAACTGTGAATAAGTCATGGACAAAAATGACTGATGCCCATATGATTTTACATTTACTATCTACTGCATACATAGGTTAGGTTATTTGAATATAGGAAATCACACGCTATTACATGCATATCTGAGTTTTTAATTTTGAAATTTGATATTCTGTCAGACATGCTTTTTATTTAATGATGTTGCCTCCTTGACAGTGCCAAAAACTCATAAGTCTTGTTAAAAGTATTTCTTCCAAGGTTTAAAATAAAGCTTCTTTAGATGAGGCAAATGAGTGCTTGAAATTTTTGATTAATTTTATCTGTTAGTAGAATTATTGGTACTTTGGTATTATCGCAACCACCTTGGTAGAAATCGCCAAATTTTCAGAACTTGCCGAACTGTGGCAACAATGCTTCAGGTAACCATGCCGATAACTGTAAGTTTGAAAATGGCAAAGTCGCCATTTTCGTACAAGCTATTTTGGTTGTATTAGAGAAGTTTTAAAGACAAATTGCGATGTTCATTTGGTAATTTAGAGTGTTAAATTTTGCTTGCAAGAGATAGAAATAAGCCTATGGCCTACTAGGGACAGAGTAAATCTATGGTAGACTGGAATAATTACATGTGGGTGATACTATTTGTAAGTAGTTGTTTTCCATGATAAATATTGTACTAAATTAAAATATGTACTTGGTAATATGGAATAAATAGCTTTCTCCGTTTTGAAATTGCCATTCTTTTTCTTCAAAAAATCGCCAAACTGCTCACAATACTGAATTATTATCTGTTAGCAGAAGCAAAATGATTGTTTTTTCAAAAATATTCATTGAGTAAATAGAGCTCTAAACGTTACAAAACATTCACATAAACTTTAAAATAATTAGAAATAAATAACGATAACAATAATAATAGAAATAATAATAATAAATTTTTTTCCACAAATGTATGTATAATAATGGTGTATCCTTTTTTTTATAAGCAAGTCTTTAACTATATTCAATGGATTATTTTGTTCTAATAAAGTTATTCAACTTCGAAATAGAGAATAAGATTATCATTAGAATTACTAATTATAGATTTTTGCACATGTTTAATAAGCAGCTCGTAAGAATGGACATTTTCTATTCATGTTAATTATGGAAGAATGATTTGATTATTTTCAATTTCACGATTGAATTTCATCATCTAATTAAATGTTTACTTTTAAATAAATGTATTTTTAAGTAAAATGTTTTCTTTTAATTAAAAATGTAACTGGTATCGTGTGTATAAATTTTTAAAATATAGTATGAAATATATGTTTTGAAAAAATGTTTTCCTGCGCTCGTAATTCAGTTTTGTTAAATAAGTCTTAAAATATTTCTCATTCTGTGATGTATCAAAAAGGCATTCGGTTATAAAATATACTAAAAGAATCAGACTAAGTAACTAATTATCGACTCTGAAAAACCTTGCCTATTCATTAAAAATCAACGTTTCATTAAAATGATGCTCTATCATACAAAGTTGCTAGAAATAACAAAATATGTGTTTATAGATAACCTTATTTCCATCATGATATTTCGAGCAAGAGATAAATTATGGAGAAGGAAGAACATGAACAGATCGAAAATGTGATTGTAATACTTGGAAAAAAGCAATGAGTTGAACATTTTACTAGAAATGTTTGCATTATGTTCTAAATACTGAACATCGTACTTCGATGAAATTTATTCCAGTTTTTAATTTCTAAATCCATCTAAATCTGTAAAGAGTTTTAATTATAATTTTAATACAGTTTTTATTTTATTATTTTTGTGAGACACGCTCTTACCCGCCACCACTAAGTTGTAGGTTATTTTAGACCCCATCAAATAACTAATAAAATTCTTATTCTTTCCTAAAATCACTAAACTAAATCCATAATTTCATTTAAATAATCACTCTAATTCTAATTTTAAATTATAAAATCACTAAAATTCTAATAATTTCAATAATTCATAAACTAATGCCTAAAATTTTGTAAATATAAAAAATAAAACTAAGATAGAAAGATCATAACACTCTTCAATGATAAATAAATATCAAAATACTCACTGCGTTTTCATTCCTTCGAAAGTATCTGGCGGAACACCTAAATTGTTTTGCTTTCATTATTTTCCGTTATACATTGGTCCTTGAGCAACACCAGCTTGTAAACATTTACTGCTTTGTAATTCTATTTCCCAACTAGCCCATAATTTAAGTTTTTAAAATGTTGAAATGTTCCTGAACTACGAATCCTCTATTTACCAGAATGGCATTTCTTAAAAAGTGAGATTTATCTGACTTTTGTCTACTCTATGCAAATTCCAAGCATTCGTATATCATCAAGGAGTATATAACCGTTATGGTAAGGACCCTTAGTAGGGTGATTTCTAGTGGGAGGGTGATGGATGGGGTTGTTTCTTCCATGGTCGAGCAGCCAATTTTGCGCCTTTTCATTGTTCAATTGCCCATAGCAATTTCCCAGAAAACTCTTAGATAAAGGTATTTTTAAATAAATTTTTGTTTACAACTCTATGTAAGAACAAAATTTTGCCATGCTACAAAAACACCTTGAATTTTCATTTTGCACAATATGGAGTAAACGCTGAAACCGTGCGATTTTAGCTTCTAGCAAAAGCCGGATCATGATAGGAAATTGAAAGGAAGATATTCTTTTACCCTATTGTTTTAGAATAATAACAATAATTTCTTTTCCCGAAATGCCTAAACATTTGTTTCTCAAGCATTTATCGGAAATCGCCCAGAGCCATCGGTTATTTAGTCAGAAACTTTGCCTAGGGTGCATTACAGGTATTAGACCTGTATTATGGATTGTAACAAAGGGAGTGGAAGGATACCCACACACCTTAGCTTTACGCGGGATTCGAACCGCATCGTGGAGCTTGGAATACCAACCAGTCTCCGCTAATGATTAAACTGTCAGCAACATCCTAGTCAATGTATGCCTTTAGAAAATCTTTTTAAGTTAAAAATTTCCCGGCATCCATTTAATAATATCGCTTTATGCATAAACAAAATTGCTTAAAAAATGTTTAGAAAGATCTCCTAAGTTTGATTATTATGAATTTTGAAGATAATTTTTTTGCGAAGTAAAAGTTTTTCTTACTCTCTTATGCGTTTATAAAAATTGGGAAATGAAGATTGTTGCAGGAATTTAAATGCGGATATAATTATTTTTCCATTTCAGAAAAAAACGTGCAAGAAAGGAGTCATAGTTGTGTGTGCTATAGAAATGAAAACTGAGAGTACATTTCGTCATGTGAAGATGCATGCTGTCATAGCAATGCAGTCTTGCCTGTGGTGACAAATGTTGCAAGACTCTGATTCCTGAACCTGCCAAAACCCAAAACCTGCTAGCTGTTCCTGTGGAGCCGAATGCTGTTGCAGTATCGACAGCAAGGCCCAGGTGCTGTTCCTGTGGGAGACGAATGCAAATGTTGCGGCAGCGAAACTGTTTCCTGTGGAGACGAATGCAATGTTGCGCAGCGAACCTGCAAGGCCCAGAGAGCTGTTCCTGTGGAGCGATGCAATCTCCTGTTGCGGCAGCGAAACCTGCAAGGCCCAGAGTAGCTGTTGTCCTGGGACGAATGCAAGTTGCAGTAGCGAAACCTGCAAGGCCCAGAGTAGCTGTTCTGTGGAGAGAATGCAAAATGTTGCGGCAGCGAAACCTGCAAGGCCCAGAGAAGCTGTTCCTGTGGAGACGAATGCAAATGTTGCGGCAGCGAAACCTGCAAGGCCCAGAGAAGCTGTTCCTGTGGAGACGAATGCAAATGTTGCGGCAGCGAAACCTGCAAGACCCAGAGTAGCTGTTCCTGTGGAGACGAATGCAAATGTTGCAGCAGCGAAACCTGCAAGGCCCAGAGTAGCTGTTCCTGTGGAGACGAATGCAAATGTTGCGGCAGCGAAACCTGCAAGGCCCAGAGAAGCTGTTCCTGTGGAGACGAATGCAAATGTTGCAGTAGCGGAACCTGCAAGACCCAGAGTAGCTAGCGGAAGAACCTGCAAGATGTTTCCTGTGGAGACAGTTGCAGTGCAAAGGCCCAGAGTAGTTGTTCCTGTGGAGAGGAATGCAAATGCTGCAGTAGCGGAACCTGCAAGACCCAGAGTAGTTGTTCCTGTGGAGATGAATGCAAATGCTGTAACAGCGGAACCTGCAAGACACAGAGTAGTTGTTCTTGCGAAGACAAATGCCAGTGTTGCCATGCTGAAAACTGTAAAGTTCAAGCTGCTTGTTCATGCGAAGATGAGTGTAAATGCTGTCAAAGTGAAACCTGCAAGACCGGGGCTACCTGCTCGTGCGAAGATAAATGCAAATGCTGCCACAGTGAAACTTGCAAAAGTCAGAGTGCCTGTTCCTGTGGAGATGAATGTAAATGTTGTGATAGTAAAACCTGCAAATCTACAGCTGCTTGCTCTTGCGGACAAGAATGCAAGTGTTGCCACAGTAAGGCTTGTAAAGTTCAGGTTGCCTGTTCATGTGGAGATGAATGTAAATGCTGTGATAGCGAAGCTTGTAAGACGAGAAATGCTTGCTCATGCGGAGATGAATGCAAATGCTGCCACAGTGAAACCTGTCAGACTGAGAGTGGTTGCTCTTGTGGAAATGATTGTAAATGCTGCGATAGCGTCACCTGCAAGTCCAAAGCTCCTTGCTCATGCGGAGACGAATGCAAGTGCTGCCATAGCGAGTCGTGTAAGGCTCGGACTGTCTGTTCCTGCGGAGATGAATGTAAATGCTGCCGTAGCGAATCCTGTAAGGAGTTAGCTACTTGCTCCTGCGGAGATGAATGCAAATGCTGCCACGGCGATGCATGTAAGAGTGACAGCTCCTGTTGCTGTGGAGACGAATGTAAATGTTGCGATAGTGATACTTGCAAGATCGGAGTTGCCTGCTCATGTGGAGATGCATGCGAATGCTGCAATAGCAAAACCTGCAAGAGTCAGACTACATGTTCCTGTGGTGAAGAATGCAAATGCTGTGATAGCGTATCTTGCAAGGCGAAATCTGCTTGTCCCTGTGAAGATGAGTGCAAATGTTGTCCCGACGATACTTGTAAGAGTCATTCTGCCTGTTCTTGCGGTGATGAATGCAAATGCTGTAATACTTCTACATGCAAGACTGTTGCATCCCCTTCCGGTGAGAAAGAATGCAAGTGCAATGAAGGTGAGACCAATGCATCCTGCCCTTGTGGTGATGAATGCAAATGCTGCGACAGCAAAATGTGCCTCGCTGGTAGCACCTGCTCTTGTGGAGACAAGTGCCAATGCTGCAATAGTAAAATTTGCAAATTTAAAGATTCCTGCTCCTGTGGCGAAAACTGCCAGTGTGGAGAGAGCTGTGGGGCTGTAACATTATGCCCTTGCGGTGAAAGCTGTAGATGTTTCAGCCAAGAATGTGGTGCATAGTCTGCAAATGAAAACTATTTCGGTTAAATAACTTTTAATTTCTTTCTATTTACATGAAGCTGCTTAATAGCTTGCATCATTTTAGTGTAGGTGTTAGACGGAACGAATTCCTTAAATGTAGATTTGTAATTAATTTTTGTGTAATTTAATAAAAATTTTTGATATTAAATATTCAGAAAGATTGCTTATTTTGTTTGTTCTTAGCTCTTTAGTTTTTTTACCCCAATATCTTATTTTAAGGAACGAAAGCTGATTTCACTTTAAGAATGCAATATTGTATATCTTCTTTGTGGTAATGTATCCTGTAAACTCTATTTCTCCTTCCTTATGTATTAAATATTAAACAGAGGATTTTTTTTAAATTCAGAAATATATTTATCAGAGTACCAAAGAGTTAGAAAGGTAAAGGAAGAAAATAAATAAATAAATAATAATGAAATAAACATTAAAATTTCTCTTTCGTATGCTTGCATAGCACATTAATTTCTTTAAACTTAAAAATCGCATTTTATGACAAAAATTAATATAATGTACACATCATTTGAATGCATTTAACAGTTAAGAACTTGAGCAACTTGAAAATGTAAACGACCATGTAAACGCTTGACATGACTTCACTCATTGCATATTTTTCAAGTATATAAGAAGCCGTACCAACAGAAAAGTATTTCTTAAACCAAAGGTAAATGATTCAGAAGAATGACATACTTATAAAGTGAGAATGTCACTGAAAGTAGCTTTCTATTTAAATTTTTGTGTTACATGAATAAATTGAATGTTGACAGCTTTTAAAAAATTAAGGAAAAGAAACATAATTCCTCTTAAGACCGTAACATTCTACTAGAATTTCAAAATATGACATGTGATTTTCTAAACTATATGAAAATAATTTGCTTTTTAGATTAGATTTCGTGATTTAAAAGAGAGTTAAACATCTTTCTCGAGGCTCTCAGTGTCTTGCGTGGTGGCGCCATCTGTTAGCGCAAAATTCAACTGTTGTGAAATCCTGTAATGTAACACGAAATATGAAACTATGTATTTTATAGTATTTAAATCTTAGCTGCGAGCATAACGAGCTAAAAAGTAAATCAAGAAATACTATTCTGTATTTTGTACTGCAATAAAAATCTCACAAATATTTCACAAAATATAATTCACGCAAAGGAATATCTATTTAACTATTGCATTAAAAAGTATCCACTGCCATTCAAAATTATCACTGTACTGGTATGATAATTTTATATATTAATGATGAATTCATTTCAAAAAGGTTTTAATAATGTCTATTTATTATATAATGGAAAATAAAGCATTGTTTTACGACATCAATTATTTCAAATCTTATACTTGCTATGATTTCAGATGTATATTTTAAAAAAGATTTTAAAATGGTAGAGAATTTTTTTAAAAATTAGCATAAAATCAGTATACATTTGCGAAAAGTACTCAAGCCATAGCTATTTAAATTATTGACATTTAAAATTATTTAAAGAAATTTTTACGATTCAAATTATTTAATCGCTTGGCTATCGATTTAACGATTCAAATTATTTAATCCTTCTTATTGATGAATACATAGAATACGAAGTTAAACAAGTTGGTACTCGAAGCGTTAAGCCAAATAGTTGATTGCCCAAGTTTTCAATAAAGAGATAGACAACAATTCAGGAACAAAAAGCTAGAAGAAAATAAGGGAATGGTACTCTTCTAAAAGCATAAAACTTTTCTTTCTTACTGTTTGTATTCGTGATGTCACTAGAAGCACGTCTGGTTAGCAATCGGGAGGTCTGGAATTCGAATCTCGGCAAGAACACGGCTCATATTTTCATGTTTCCTGCTCCAATAAAAGCCTAAAAGTTTCTGCGGTGTCGTACCTAAATTTTCTTAGTTACTCAATTTTCAAGTTTATAGTGATTAACTAATAATTACATTCCCGTGAACTAAAAGGGTAAAATAAACAAATTTGTAACGCATCTGTACAAATTCATAGTTTCTTGTTTTTAGGATAAAGTTCTGTTTCTAATTTGCATTCAATGATAATATAATAAAGAAAATTTTGTATTTTTCATTAATTGCATATCAAGACCAGCACAGGTTAAAACTTCATTTTAAGGGTAAACAAACTTTGGACAGAGAATTTCATCTCGATGTCCTCCCAGCCACAGGGAAAGTTTAGGAATGCCAACTGCATTTCTGATATTTAAACAGCAGAAATGTTACATTGAACTCATCACAGTGTAGGGTGGATTATTTCAAAGAAGCTAAATTTTGATTCCATAAATAAAATATATTAAATATTTTGAAATATATAATAAAAGTGTCAAGCGGTTAGTTTTGTGTTGTTCAGAATAAAAGTACGGTACATTGCGGTTCTGAAACAAATTATTTCCAATTTTATTTCCTTTTTCCAAATTATTTCCTATTTTAAACAAATTTTTCAAAATTTTCCTTTTTTTAAATTTAAATACTATAAAATATAAAGTTTCATATTTCGTGTTACATTACAGGATTTCACTATAGTTGAATTTTGCGCTAACAGATGGAGCCACCACGCAAGACATTGAGAGCCTCGAGAAAGACGTTTAACTCTTTTAAACCACGAAATCTAATCTAAAAAGCAAATTATTTTTAAATAATTTCTAATATAAAAAACAAATTATCACTGTACTGGTATGACAATTTTATATATTAATGATGAATTCATTTCAAAAAGGTTTTAATAATGTCTATTTATTATATAATGGAAAATAAAGCATTTTTTTAAGACAAATCAGTTAAAGTTAAGTGTTTAAGTTAATTATATTTGCTTCAGAATACATTTTCTTTTTAATTTCATGGGAAACAGGTCAGTTGCTTAAGGTATGGTTTGGTTTGGTTTATGTGATTATCGCAGAGCCTCGAGGGCTGTCTGCCTAAGGGGTGAGAGGCCTCGTGGAGGACTTTCTAAGGAAAACTGGCTCGCATACACGTTACACATGGAGGAAATCACGCAATTAATTGGGAGATTTACAACTAATATTAAGCTCCATGCAGAAATCTCTTTCGCGGGATTCGAACCTCGGACCGAACCACCAGTGTTCTGCCACTTTTCCCGCTCGGCTGCTGGTGGGTCGTAGTTGTTTAAGAAGATTAATAAATCAATTAGAACGTTCAAGGAGGGCAAATTATTTCTCTTTCAGGGGGTTAAAAAATGGAAATTTCGGGAATTTGCCTCCGAGGTTTGGGGATAATTTCTCCAAAATTGTAAAAATAATTTCGGAGTCATTCGGAAATAGGGTAAAGAGAAGTTCAACTTATCAAACCACTGTTAAGGGACGCAGCCAACTACGAACTGGCCGCCGGGCCAAGATTGAAACAGCCTTTGTCATTTAACATGAAGGATATATATAACTGTAGAATTGGTTTTAAATCCAATTCCAGTCAATTAATTGGGGGGGGGATTTACAACTAATATTAAGCTGTAAACAGCATTTCCTCTTTGTTCCGAAAGGATTTTTAGTCCAAAGGGTCAATTTTTCGAGAAGGACTATTAATTTCGTTTTGACATTTTGCATCGATTCACGATAAGCGTTGTTTCACTTTTCAAATTGTTGCCACCCAATATAATCGCCATGTATTATATTTAAGAATTTAAATAATGAAGAACCTGCATGAATGTATGTATATTTCGCGCTCTGTGATAAAACAACGTTACCTAGAGCCATGAAAATTTGAATAACGTAATCTTCCATAGAATATGGGCATGTTTTTTTAATTTGAATTTGAAATTTGTTTATTACCGATTTCAGATTTTGTAATACTTCAACGAATTTTTGATTAAAAAAACTAAACTATTTCAAAAGCGAGCAATGGCAACACTGTACGAAAAAATAATTATCTCCAGCGCGCGAGGCTCTGTATCGGAAATTCTAAAAAGATGTTCGTTTTAAAATTATTTTTTGATATTGCTGTTGGACTGAATTTTATGGGTTAAGTGCATAGAATATGATATTTAATAAATAAAGGTAGCACTCAAAATGCTTAAAAAACGCCCTTTTGAACGTAATTTAAAATCTGAAACCTTTTTTTCTGTTTTGTTTTTTAAGCTCGTTTTGCGGTTTTATCTTGAAATCAGTTTAGAAAAATGCTTTCTAATTTTTTTCGATGACTTTGGGAGGTAAGAAAATTTTTTTTGCGTAAACTCATAGCGATATCGTTTGAAAATATAAAATTGTTTTGTTTGCTCATGAAGAAGAGAGAAAGAAATTTGCAATTCCACACGAAATTTCGAGCTTTTTAGAATTCTGTGTTTTAGAATTCTGGGTTTGCAAAGCACTTAAAGAATTTAAACTATGCCCAATGGTTACTAATTTAGACAAAAGGTAACACATGGTTTTAGCATATTTCCTATTCGAGAAATATGTATTTCGACTTACCGAAAATCTTGAATTATTGAAGCTTCAGCGCCCATGTATAGAGAAATATAAATATCACGTCTATTAACACATTATAATGAACATTCTTTC